TATCAGAAGTTTAAACTCATATGGTTTAAAACGCATGATTTCAGCGTGATAAACATGATAATCAGAACCATAACAGATGTTTTTAGGAGGTCCGAGCTGTAATGGTGCAGCACTATTCTGGAAAAGGGGGCGGGGAGCAGCAGCTCATTTGCATTTAAAGAGAAAGGCACGAAAAACAGCTTGTTTCTGCTTCCACTCAAAATGGGCATTTTCAAAATGATATAATAAATGATCTGTGGAGTATTTTGAGCTGAAACTTCACAGACACATTATTTGGACACCAGAGACTTATATTACATATTGTAAAAAGGGGCATAATATGTCTCCTTTAAGTAGTTTATTAGAAACATCCTTTTTTTAAATAAACATAACTGCTTCAAATTTGCGTTTTTGGTATGGGTGTGTGTAATTCACATTGTAGATCAAGTATCGTCAAGTTCGAGGGAACCCATGGTGAATTAGGGTGTGTTCACACTTAGTTCGGTTCACTTGGTTCTTTTGGTCCGGACCAAAAAAAGAAAACCGTTGGTGGTCTGGGTACGGTTCATTTGTGGGTCCATTTGTGGTTTGATTTCCTCATGATTTTTGAAAGCATTATAATGTAGTGATTCGGTATCGAAGGTGTTATATTAATAAAAGTCTCGTGGCAGCGTGTGTGCGAGTGATGTGCGTGTGTGTATGTCAACGAATGCAGTGCATATAGGGGTCATTCTATGGAAATGTCCATTTTTCTGTCCCTAGCCTTTACAGAAATATTACACTTGAAAAACACTTTAGGTTTACAATTTTTTTTTAATATTTTAAAATAAAACAATGTGTTATTTGAACAATTACACCTTCTTGAGCCATCAATGTGGCAATATTTGTTTTTAATGAATTATAAAGAATTCCAAGCACCACAAAACTGCTCATCCCCACAGCCATGTACAGAGGGAAAGTGCTTTATTTTGAGGTCAAAACAGGTTTTTCTACCATTTAAAATACAATTATACATTCATAACTATCAAATATATGATGTAAATGACATAAAAAAAACAAAATGCCAAATAAATATTATAAAATATATAATGAAAGTAGTGGTCCCCTGGAGTTGTGTCACTGGTGTTACCGTTTAACAAAAATCATTTATTTTGAAATAAAAATGACACTGATGACATCACTTGACTTCCTTCCTCCTATTTCCTGAAGATCTATGAAGAAAGGCCCATGTGAAGTCCACTGTCTCTTTTCAGTTATCAGAAATGTTCTAATTTATCTCATGATTTCATATGAAGCTTTTAGTGGAAGTCACTGGTATGACCTACTTTATTGTTAGGGAATTGTAAAAAACTAGAATACAAATGGATTCAACTTAATTTAGTGAGTATACCATGATTGTCAACATGTGGTTTGATACCTTGCAGCAGACATTTTGTAAAATTCATTTTTCATGAAAATTGCCACTGGTGTTACCTTCCTTATGTAACACCAGTGAAGATCAGTTTATGTTTATTTTCTTTTGCTAACTGCTTTCACTAATTGCTAAATGTATGCCAAATGTAACAATTTAGTCTTATCTACTTAAGAATAAGGATCTTTGGTCTTATGTATGTCACTGCTGTTTCATTGTGTCACTGGTGTTACTTTTTTTCTGTCACATTAAATAAAATGTGACATGATAATAATTTTACATCCACTGAATTCTGCTACACTCAAGAGTTAAGATTTAAAGGATTGCATCATTACTTGTTTAAAACTGTTTTTACAAATATTTTCATTGTTATAGCAAAATACATGGTTGCGCAAATTAAGTAACATCACTCAATAACACTTTTAACAAACCTGATTAAAATAAATAAAACATAATCTCCTTATTTGTTGCAGAAAATTGAGAAATAATATTTTATAAAAACCTTTAAAATTGCCAAAGAAGGTAACACCAGTCACAAAAAAATGGTACATGTGGTCTTTAAATAAATGCACAAAAAAGATTTTTAAAAATCATTAAGCTGTCATTTATGTGTATTCATAAAGTCAAAAGGTAATATAATAATGTGGTCTAA